TTTTTTTTTGCTTGCTATTCCAACATTAGCTGAGTTAAGAGCTATGCTTGAAGTATTTTGTCCTAAAAAGGCGAAGTTATTCGAAGGACTCAGCTCGCCCACACGTCTCTCTTACATATCTAATTTAATGTAAGGTATGCAATTACGAAATTCTGCAATATCTGGTCTATCCCTCCTTGCGTATCTACTTAGTCTGTACTTTTTGACTAGAAAATAAGCATCTTGCTACTAGATTGAAAGTTGCTTGGAACTTGCGGGATATCGATGCGATTTTGCGTGTATACGGTCCGCTCTGAAAAAGCTCCAACAAACGAAGGACGTATTAGCATGAAAAGGTGATCGTTGTCATTATTTCGCATCTTAGCTACCACAGAACATCAGATTACCAAGTTCTACCCAGAATATGGGAAACATGAATTATTCGAAAGAGTTCTCCTACTTACCGCATAAACACCCAGCCCCAAAACGAAACGTAGATTGTTTTCAAAATTAGTGTCGAGTTTGCTTTATATAAAAGTTGTTTGCGAAAAAAAAGCGACAGTACACCCTATGCCATAAGATCAAACATGGGCGATTATGCAAGATATGCAATCAAAAGGCACCAACTTTGTAGAACAGATATACTGCTGCAATTCTAGCAAACAGTAATATTGGTGCCAGTAGCATTCCTTCCACTACAATAGAAAGGTCCTCGTAATTAACTTCTAGGTAGTTTGAGTGATCCTGAATCTTTGAATTCACAACTCTAAGATCATTTATGTGGAGAGAAACTTACGTCACTGGGAGTTAACATTTCGGTACCCACACAAAATCCAGCAAATATGAAAATCACATTATTTGCCCAATATCCCATAGCAGCCCACAATTCAAGAGCCATTTGTGTTGTTTCCGGAGCAAACATCTCCCTAGTGAATGGTTACTAGTGTATAATGTATGCATGTAACGTTGTGTATAGTATGTATGTATGTATGTATGTATGTATGTATGTATGTATGTATGTATGTATGTATGTATGTAT